TCTAGAGTGCCCTGGTTGATGGGCAGCCCAGCTTGACATTTGAGAAAGAGATGGAACGGCCAAAAAGGCCCTTCAAATCTGCAGCAATTGTTCCGGGTGGGAAGTCCCACGGAAGAAACATCTGGAGATGCCTGACACTAAGCTTTGGGGAAGGGCATCTGGAGAAGGCAGGGAGCTGGGATGGGGCACACAGGAGAAGTGTCACTCAGGAGGGCTCAGGTAACTTACCTTCCTCAGCAGGGAGCTCTACCCAGGGAAAAAGAAGAAAAGGACAAATTTAGTAGGGGTCCAGCCTCATGTCTCCCACACCCTGAACTCTGCAGCTAAGAGAATCAGCTATCAAAAGGACATCTGAAGTTCAAGGTCACCCCAGAAAACTTCCCCAAACCCCAGATCATAAACTGTTTTCTTTAGTATCTTCCTTCTCCTGCACGAAGCAGGCAACTGCCCTACTTGTCCCTACAGAGCCCAGAGGAAGCGGTTCCCACTAATGGGTGTGGGAGGGCAGCCACGCCAGCCTCTCCTCTAAGGATACTTACCATTGGGGCCGTATTTTTCCAGATGCCGCTTAACTTGGTCTGGAGTAAGGCCTGTGGTCTCGCTCACCCCAAAATAGGACAAACATTCCTCTGTGGACTTGGAGTGTGCGGCCTCCATTGTGCTCCCTTCCTGGGGGCCAGGGGGCGATGTATTCCTTCTTAGGGGCCTCTCACTGGAGGGGGGGACTTCTTCAGTGTGCCCACCTGCCTGACAATCTAGGCTTCCTCCTTTTTCTTGCCTGCCCCCCCGATTCTTCTTCCTTCCACGAAGTCCTGACCCCAGTCCCACTTGCAGCAGCCGGCCACCCCCCCAGCCCCCAGCTGGTCCTTATGAGGGAGTGGGGGGCCAGGCTCCCCCTCCCCCCAGATCAGGGATTGGCTGGCTGAGACCCCAGCAGGAGGGGTCAGAAGAGAGAGAGATTTCTGCTGACAGAGAAGAACAGTAGGGCTGCAGCCTGAGATGTCACTCATAAGGGTGGCCCCAGCCCCAGGGAAGGGGGCAGGGAATAAAGTCATTTTCCGTTATCTGCTACTGACCCTGCCCCCAGCTGCCTCAACTTCCCCAGTTACATTAAATGCACAATTCCAAGCTCGCTCCAACAGCCCCCTCTGTCCCTAGGCTTCATTGCCCTCCGCCCTTTCCTGTCCTGACCATCCTGAGGCCCTTTCCACTGCCACAGTCTCCTCCTCTGCCTATTGTGTTCAGAGAACAGGGGAGGTACGCCAAGCTTTTGTGGGAACCAAAGGAGCGGGAAAAGCATCTTTGGGGGACAGAGGAAGTAGTTCTGGAGAGATAAGGGGAAGTGGGGAAGGGAAGACAGTCAAGGGGACAGGGCAGAAGATGGTAACCTTACCCTAGGGAGGGGTTGCTGCAGCCATCAACAAGGGATTTAGTGTCCAGGCCCTGGTGAGCAAAGCCAGGACTGTCTGTGTCTCCTAAACTCCCCCCCGCCGCTATGACTGTGCTAGCTCAGTCTCTGGGAACACAGCCTTTAGCTCCCCCTTGAAACTGGCAGGGAATCCCCCCCGAAGAAAATGGGACACCCAGGCAGTCAGGTAACCCAAGAGGCTAGAGAATGTGCTGATGGCAGAGGGGGAGGGGTAAATGTTTCAGGGTGTGGATTTCCTCATCCCACGGGCCCTCATCCCAGGGGCTTCATTGTTGACACCCAGAGGTGTGGTGGTCTCAGCAACTCTGGTCCTGATACAACAGCCCACAGAGGGAATGAGGATCAAGCCCAGTAAGAATACTTTGGAGCTGGCTAGCCCCATGCAAAACGAGTCCAAGGGCAGGACCCCTGAAGTTGGATAAAGCAGAGGCCCCAGAGGGAGGAATGGGGGAGGTATGAAGAGGTGACAGAGCCCAGGTGGAAGACACACAGAGTCCCCTGTCTGAGGACAGGGAAAAGAAACAGCAGGCGCTGGCTGTGGCAGTCAAGTGGGCGGGTCCCAGGGGCTGGGTGCAAAGACACAAGTTGTTGCTGAAGGACTGGCCTGGGTGTCAGCTTCCTCCGAAAAGCAGCTGCTCTGAGCCACCCTTCCCCACCCCGATTCGCCATTGGGGCATTTTTGGTTTCCACCAAGGCAGCTGCTGGAGGATCAGACAAGGTACATGGGCCAGGATGCAAGCAGGGAGGAAACTGAGGCAGAGAAGTTTCCATGGGAGTCAATATTGAAAGGTCAGCAAGGGTGAGCAGCATTGCAGCCCTGGAGCACAGGTCCCACTTCTACCCAAGCCTCAGTTTCCCTGAAAAGAACTAAGAAGCACTTCCCACACTAGGGCTCCAGCACACAGAATGATACAAGAAGCAGAGTCCGGCAGAACAAAAAGAAGCCACACTTGTTTGGGGTGAGGGGTGGCCAACAGGGATAGATAGAAACAAAGGACTAAGTCTCAGATTCATCCTGCCTTCTGCCCAGACTTGGGGGAGGGGTGACGTGAGGACAAGGTGTTCCTTCCCGCCCTCTTTTCACAGTTCCCACAAATCCCTCCCTTGGAGTCCTGCTGTGACCTGAAGGGGAAGAGCTTAAGACAATGCAGTGGGACTGTAGGGGCCACATAAATAGACATCTCTGCCTGGTTCAGGACCCTCCACCTCGGGTCAGAGGCAGGCTGAGCACCCATGGATGTTGGGGCCCTAGCTGGCTTATCCCCAACAGCATCTGGATGAGTGACAGGGCCACTGTCTCTCAGCAGCAGGAATGCCCAAACATGGTGTAGGGACATGATAGCTTCAAAGAAGGTGAGTGAGGAAAGAAGGCAGGCTTTACAGGACACCCCTGCCAAAGAGGCTCTTTGAGGTTACTCATTTCTACCTCCTCAGCTTCCCAGATAGATAAATGAAGGCTAGAGAGAGACACTGCGGGGGACACCTCTCTGCACTGTGATCTTCCCTGGAGAGGGCAAATGAGGCAGTTTCAGACCATTTCCCACTACACCAAGATTGAAGGTGTTCTCGCTCCTGAGTTTTGAGGCTGAGGAAAGGCAGAGAGAGGGCAGGCTGTGAAGGGCATGAAGGCAGAGCCTGACCCATTCCTGTCTAGTTCCACAAATATTTAACAGGGAATCTCATCATCTCTTGGGCTCTTCTAGCCAGGACATGGTAGTCTGGGGTGTCTTTCTGCCCACCCCAGGATGGCAAGGCATGGGGGAGGGGTGCCTTTGAGCACCAGTTGCCATGAGATTAGGGGAGGATCAGGCCTTCCCTCTCTGAGGTGTTACAGCCCTAGCTGGCCATTGGCTATCCAACAATCCCACTTGGAGAACACAGCACACAGGTCTAAAGCCACCCTCTGCCCAACCTCCCCACAGGGCTAATTCAATCCCTATCGAGGCCAAGATTTGGGGAGCCCCAGGGATAAGATAAAACAAGAGCCAGCAGGCTTCCCCCAACCAACCCCCACCCTAGGTAGACTATGAGCTCAGCTGTCTCCTGTCCATCTCCCCACAGAACCAACACAGGGCTCAGAATAGCAAGGTCATGAGTGTGGGTACAGCCTCTTGGAGGTGGGGCAGAGGCTGAGGGACAGAAGATCAGCCACTCACTCCACTTTCCCAGGGGAGGGGGTGAGACAGTGGTAAGGTGGAAGGGAGGATAACAGTCTTCAGATCCTGCTTTCCTTCTACAACCCCTGCCCACACCCTAACCTGGGAAGCCAGGGCACCCCTGTTGGAGATCATGGATGCAGTGCTGAAAGATGTATCCCGGGAAGGGCTTGCATTAAAAATGGGAGTTTGGTAGTAGTGGTAGTGGTTGTAGACCCCATGCCAACAGCCCATACTTCAGGGAAGTGAGCTAGTAGGGCTGGGGAACATGAAGTGAGCTAGGAGAGATGGGGAACATGTAGAAACTGGACCCAAGCAATTGCAACTTGTGACTTTCATTCATTCTTTTCTTTTCTTTTGGTTTTGAGACACGGTTTCTCTGTGTAGCCCTGGCTGTCCCAGAACTCACTCTGTAGACCAGGCTAGCCTCAAACTCAGAGATCCACCTGCCTCTGTCTCCCAAGTGCTGGGTTTAAAGGTGTTCACCACCACTACCAGCTTGGAACTTGTGACTTTCAAGGGAAGTCTTGGGACGTTTATAAACACAGAAAGAAACATTTAGGCCAAGTCACATCAGTAGCACCAATTTAGAGAAATTTCACATCTCACAGAGGATACCAAGGTCCAGAGTTGCTTGCCCTGCCACTAGGTCCAAAACAACAAACGAGAGGCGACACCAGGACTCGAAGCCAGTACTGTCATCCAGCTTGTCTCTGACAAAGGGGACAATGAGTCTGGCCTTGGGCCCCTCGGCAGTCAACTTGAACTGTTACAGCCAGTCTCCTCCAACTCCGTGACTCCAGCATCTCCTCTGCCCACGTTCTTCCTAGGATAAGAGCTTCACTCAAAAAGTCCGGTAAAAACTGGGCTGTGGTGGTGCACGCCTTTAATCCCAGCACTTGGGAGGCAGAGGCAGGCGGATCTGGGTGAGTTCGAGACCAGCCTGGTCTACAGAGTGAGTTCCAGGACAGCCTCCAAAGCCACAGAGAAAGCCTGTCTCGAAAAACCAAAAAAAAAAAAAAAAAAAAAAAAAAAAAAGGTCTGGTAAAGCAAAGGCCTTCAGTGACCATAAACCCCATTTTAAAAGAACAAGCTGGCAGGTTGTGGCCGTGTCATCACTTCTACACACAGGTGGCTGAAGCAGGAGGATCACCAGTTCTGGTCACATAATAAGACACTGTCTTAAAAGAAACCCTTACCCGGAAAAACAAAACATGCTGGAACCCCCAAGAAGTACAGTTGAGTCCTGCACTTTAGTACTCAGTAAACCAAGTGGCCTACAGAAGAGGTGGCTCCAAAGGCCTTGGACTAGAGTGGAAAGGACTGGACCCTGGCCAGCTCTTTGGTCTCTGAGCTCAGAAGACAGCCTTATCCACTGTCTCAGTTCCCGCTCCAAACACTAGCCACAGCCATCATGATGGAACTAAGATAAACCCTTTATTTATTTATGCTTTTCCATTTTGTTTAAAACAACAACAACAACCTTAATATAACTGACAGCCCTTCCCCCTCACCCTTGCTTGGGTTGGGGGGTAATTAGTGGGGAAATAGCCCCCAAGGATGGGACTGACCATAAGAGCCCCTTAGGGAGGTAATGGAGCCCAAGTCCTTGGCTTGGGGCAAGGGCACCTGTAGTGTAGTAACTGGGAACTTAACAGGGCTCTTGAACCTCTACTTGTACCAACATACACACCCTTGGCTGACAAGGGTCAGGAAGCAAGTGGGGAGGGGACTCCCATTTTCCTCGGTGTCCCTACCCAGCCCAGTCTCACAACTTAAGGCTAGGAGTAGGAAAATGGAGGGTGGGTAGGTATCTCACACAAAGGAGTACTGGTTATTAATGGCTCGGGGGTGGCCCCCTTCTTCTCCGTTGCCCCCTAGTGGTAGCTGCTGAAGCTGCACCATTAGGGACACCCCCAAGTCCCCACCAGTGCCAGCACCACCCTGGGCCTCAGTGCCTGGTGCTATGGCCTCTTCCAATTCAACCATGGGGACCAGCTCAGCCACGGGGACCAGCTCTTCCTGGATCCCTCCACCGCCCGCTTTCTCTTTCTCTTGCCTCTCTTTGGCTGCTGCGGCTGTGGTGGCCGCCACTTCTGGCGCCCCCGACGCCTCTTCTGCCCCAGGATGTGGGGGATCTGTCCATGGAGGGGGTTCAGGGGGCTGGGTTGGGTCACGGGAGGTGTTCCGTTCTGGATAGGAATGGTAAGAAGACACATTGACTGTGGAAGGAAGCGAGTTCTTGTGGTGGTCTCCCCTTGGCTTGTCCTCCCCAGGAGCCATGTGCTATCTCCCCATACTCCATCTCCTGAGCAACCCCCCTCCATGGAAGATGGATCATGGGCAGCGGTGAGAGGACCACACTTACACACAGTCACTCGCTCCGAAGGGCAGGAGGGTGGAGGAGGCATCGGGGTAGCATCGGTCGCCCTCACACACCCCTGCATGGCTCCCAGCCTGCTCCCGGCCTGGGGGGAGGGGCAATGTGGGGACAGATGGGATGGTGGGGTGGGGGAAAGTGAGAGATCAGACAGGGACATCAGACATCAAGGGATGAAGGAGGGGGATCAGACCATGAATCCCCCAAAAGATCAAAGACAAGGCCAAGAAGGATGGGTCCAGAAGACAGACAATGGAGTGGAGGATCCGATGAAATGGGAATGCACCACCCAACTCTCCACTACCCCGGCCCCGTGAGGAGCCTCTGCCTGCCTGTACCCTGTCAGCTTTCTGCAGCCCCTTCAGACCCTGGGCTGCCCTGTTCCCCACTAGCAGGGCCTCTCCTCCAGCCCCCCACCCCGTCTTCCTGGCACACACACCTCACTTCTTGGGTGCACGGGCACCTCCTCCCCTGTAGACCTGCTCTGCTCACCCTGCTGCCGCTGGGAGGGCACATAGCTGACAAGGACAACATCACTGGAGCCTCCAGACTCCAGAGGGATGGGATGCACCCGGAAGTGCTCAAGCATATCGAAAATGGACTGGAACCACAGATGTTGGACCCGGCACTGACCCTCCTCATTCAGTGACAAACGCAGGTGCTGAGGGCAGGATGAGCAAGTAAGGTGGGCGCTCAGGTCCCTGCCAGTTATAATTCCTCCTCCCCTAACAACTGCCACCCAAGCACTGTCCAACACAGTCCTCAGGACCACTCACCTTAGCCTTGCCCTGGAAGTTGAAAGTGAGGACATATTCACCACGTCTTGTCTCACTCTGACGTACCAGGAAGACACCATGGGAGCCAGTGCCTCCTTCCAGCACTAACTGGGCAGCCTTGAGTCGAGACAGCATGCCGTGGAACCAAGGATATCCTGAGAGGGGCTGATCCCCCTCACCTCCCTCTGGCTCCCCCTGGAACAGGAAGGACCCTTCAGCAAGGAGAGAGAGGGGAAAACAGGGTGTCAGAGGCTTCTCCCTAGCCTTGTTTTCCTCTTGAGACATGTCCCTCCCAGCCAGGTCACTGGTCCCTCCCAGGTACCATCCCTCCAGCTCCAATACAGGACCATAAGCCAAGGAGAGCTATGCATGCACGCAGTACCTGTGGCTGCTTCTGGAGTATCCAGGGGAGGATAGGGGGTGGAGAGGGGATGAACTGTCCCTGCTGGAGGCCCCTCCTCAATAGGAATGCGAGGGGGCAATTCTGGAGGAAGCAGCTCCATTGAGTCAAAATGGGAAGCAGCAATGGAGACAGAACTGGGGGAGAAGGACGCTGACGGCCGGTCTGAGAGGCCCCCGTAAGCCCCTGAAAGGAAATGCAGGCCAAACGTGAGAACACCACAGGTTCCTCTTCTAGAGGCCTGGGCTCCTGCCATCTCCCCGCTGGCTGTCCACTTGTGTGCCCAGCCCCCGCACACCTCTGGAGGACTGACCCTGATGGATTTTTGCGATGGTTCTGACTTACACTGCTTGCTGGCTGAGGGACCATGGTTATTTCGAGGAGGTCCTAGAATCCAAATGTCCCTATGTCTTTTCTGAATCAACAGCTGAAAGATTATTGCAATGATTGGTGGGGTGAGGGATAGAAGCCCTGAAAATGCCCGCATTAGAAAGGAGCCCTCTGTTTAGACCAGAAAGGAAAACTACCAACTTGAAGGACATCAAAAACCCTTGTCGCCGGGCGTTGGTGGCGCACGCCTTTAATCCCAGCACTCGGGAGGCAGAGGCAGGCGGATCTCTGTAAGTTCGAGACCAGCCTGGACTACCAAGCGAGTTCCAGGACAGCCTCCAAAGCCACAGAGAAACCATGTCTCAAATAACCAAAAAAAAAAAAAAAAAAAAAAAAACCCTGTCAAAGGTACATTCCTATACTAAGCACTCACAAGGCTGAGGCTGGAGACTTGTTGTTCAGCCTAAAGCACACAAAAGAGTTGGGAACATCCTTCAGTGGCAGAGTACTTGCCTACCAAGAGAAGGCCCTGCATTCAATCATCAGTGACAAAAGGAAATACACATCTTCCTCTTTCCTATTAGCCCCTTTAGGCCAAATCAACTTGATTTTCCCTTTACTATGCCGTGAGTTCTTCCCTTTCTCACTTAAGCCCATCACTTTCCATGCATCCTGGTACTTCCTATGTCAGGGTTCAGCAAGGTCCCCGGCATCCTCCAAGCCACTCTCTTCTCTCACCTGCCCTGTGCAGTATTCTGTCTATTCTATCTCCCCTGTTCGCTTCTTCCTGAGTTCCCAAGATGTTCCTTGCTTGGGCTGCTCAAAGGACATAAGCAAATGCCCCATTTTGGAGACCCGCTTTTTTTTTTTTTTTATTTAACTTTATTTTATATGTTGGTGTGAAGGTATCAGATCCCCTGGAACTGGAGTTATGGACAGTCGTGAGCTGCCATGTGGGTGCGGGGACTGAACTCAGGTCCTCTGGAAAAGCAACCTGTTCTCTTAACTGGTGAGCCATCTCTCCAGCCCCGGAGACCCACTTTTTATTGGGAATGTCTTACCAATTCAGCTACAGCAAAACCAAGAAAACCAAAGAGCCATTTGAATCATCTGAGTTCCCCATTCACCCCAGAGCCTAGCATGCAGCCAGTGACATACTAGGACCTGACTGAACATCTGCCACACCTCAGGTCTCGGCCAGCAGACACTCTTAGAAAACAGGTATGACAGTATAGCCCATTTTTGTAAGAAACCTCAGGAAATCTATTTCCTCCCTGTGGTCTTAGCTACTTGCAATCTGCTGTAAGGTCTATGCTAGCTCTAACAATCTCAGTCTATGATAACTCTTTTTGTTGACGGAATACGTCTGTGCACCAGGAACCGTGAAGCTGAAACTCAGAACCAGGGTCAGGAGAAAAGAGTAGAGTGGAGGCAGAGTCTGGAAGGTGAGTTGGGCCAGACAGCCATCTGTTTGTGAGTGTATGAGTGTTAAGTCAGACCAAAAGAAAAAGCGCAAAGGTCGCTGACACATGCTGGGATGCACAACAAAACAAAAACAAAGATGCCCACAAAGCATTCTGGAAGCACGCAGAAGAGAACTATTACTTCCAGACATAGTGGTAGCCTATAGGCTTACAGAAAAAGTAACAGGGGAGTATGAGAGGTTTGATAGAGTAAGGAGCCTGGCCCAGCAGCTCTCGAAGGCTCCACCTTACCCTGCGACAGGCGGTCATTACTCTCGCTGGGTCCCAGCAGCAGATCCTGGCTGGGCAGGCTCTCTGAATGATTCAGGCAGGGCAACTCCAGGCTGTCTGTGTTATCCTTTGTGAGGAAGGAGGTCCCAGGGGCCAGGGGAAGGGTCATGGGACGGGGGCTGATAGCAGGGCAGGGTCTACAAAGACAGGGAAAATGGTGCTGGGAGAAAACCACCAGGAGAAAGACACAAAGCTGCTCCCCTACCCATCTCCAGATCCTCTCAAGAAGAGGCAAGCTTCTTACCCTGGGCTTAGGCACTCCTGGATGTCAGACACCCAGGCCTTCACGTGAAGTGCATCTGTTGTCTCCAAAATGTACTCTGAAGGGCCTTCTACCTACAAGGCCAAGAGGTTGGACTTCAGCCAGGGCAGGGGGTAGGCAGCCCAGAGGCCGCATCCAACAGCCCCAGGGACAGACTCAAAGCCTGTCCTGACACATAATCATCCTGCTGCCAAACACACTCGCCTAAATCTATCGAGAGCATTTTCTCAAGCACAAGCACTCTGGGGCAGAGCTTAGAGCGCCTACCTTAACCACAAACGTGTTCTCCCTGTCAGGCATCTCTAGGGCCGTGGCTGAGCGGACATCAGTGATAGTAGAGCAGGGAATGCTGAGTCGGGGCCGGGATGCCTAGGTGGGAAAGGCAGTAAGAACCAGGCCTTTATGCCAAGGCCAGCTGTCCCTCCCTCCATTCATCCACCTTTCCCTCCTGGATGAAGCAAAATAGTAATATCTCTGTGGTCTCAGATCCGCCACCGGCAACCGAGAGCCTAGTTAGCGCTGAACCCAGGACAGCAACTTGTGTACATGGGCTTCCAACCCCATAGCTGTCTACAGAGCTGTACTACCTCTTCAGCCACCGTCATTTCCAGCTACCCACCCTCCTGTGGGCTCACCTTGGGTGGTACAAAGAACTCCAAGCGACTTCCTCCTCCTCCTTCTCCTTCACTCCTGAGCAGTAGGCGACACTTCTGCCACTGAGGCTGCCCTCCTCCCCCTGAGGTCAGGCCAGCCACCCCTCCTCCACGGCCCACTCCTGCTGGGTCAGGGGCAGCCTCTTCAGCCCCCATGAAACTCAGCAGCTCTTCTCTCTGTACCATTCCTGCTCCGTCTTTCAAGGTTCCCCCTCCACGACTCAGTCTCAGCCTCTCAAAGCGGTGAGTCCATCTCTCCCCAGGGGATGTGCCATCACTAGCCAATCCCCTACCAACTGTCCCAGCACCACCCGAGGAGTTGGAGTTGCTGTTTCCACCTAGAACTGGAGGGCCTGATGTGGTCTCCAGAGGCCCAGCTGGGGAGGAAGAGTCAACGGCCCCCCGCCACTGCAGGATGCCTCGTACAGAACCTCTAACTGAGCGACCCACTGAACGGAGGGAAAAGCGTTTCTTGAGCTTCGGCTTTGAAGATGATGTAGAGGAGGAAGAGACTGAGGAAGGAAGGGGGCCAGCTAGGTCCTCAGAAGATCGAGATGGGCCCAACACAGCCAGGGGACCACCCACCCTACAGCTTTCAAGGGACAAGTCATGTGGTGGTGCAGTCTCCACACCAGGGCTCAACGGGGCCAAGACGGGTGGGGAGAGTGAGCCCGAGGCCCGGGCCACCTCAGCTTCGAAGTGCTGCAGGAAGAGCTCAGCAAAACGGCCAGAAAAGGCAGCTTCTGCTCCAGGCTCTGCATACTGTGGGTGGGAGGCCAGGTAGAGGCGAAACCGACGGGCAAGATCCAGGGCAGCAGCCCTCGCATGGGACTCACAGAACTCTTGCCAACTTGGGGGAGGGGGTGGTGGCAGCGCTGGCGGAGAAGGGAAGGCCCCATCCTCCGGGGAAGGGGCACCATTCATGATGGGCCCCAGGAGGAGGACAGGGGGAGCCTGTGAGGAGGGGCAGCAAAGAAGGAAGCGGCCAAAGGACACGGGGTGAGCGGCAGCAGCTGTAGGAAGAAGAGGCATACATATTGCGTCACTGCAGAGGTGAGATTGGGGTGTGTCCCTGCCCAAGCCAGGTACTCCCATCCAGATTCCCAACAGAGGAAGAGAAGCAAACTGCTTTGCCCTCTTCAAGATCCACACCCCACATATACCCCAGGGATAAGGGATGCCCAGCCCAGTGTCCATCCTGCATCTTCCCTGCTACCATTGCTAACACTTTTCCTGTTGTGGGATCCAGGAAAGAGACGGCCTCGGAGCATCTTATGCCACAAAGAACTCTTAGAGATCACCACTGTCCCTTCTGAAAGCAAAGCCTTCCCTAACTACCACACACTTTCCAGCTGCTGTTCCAGCAGGTGTCACAAGGTCATTTTACCTTTCCTTAGAAAGCTTAATAACCCTTCAGATGAGGAAACAGACCCTCAAACAAATTACAGAATTCAGAGTCTGCTGTGTTCTCCACTGCATAGTTCTAGTCTCCAAGGACTGGCTGAACCAGCCTTAACCACAGCTCCTCTTGCTGTTCTCAGGGGGGTTAGGAGGGGGCAACAGGGATTACAGAGGTCAGAGACCTTGCTCCAGAGGCCCAATGAGTGGATGATGAACTGAAGGATCAGCTGTCTTAGAAGCTGATCCTAAAACCCTGCACTTAAGTCTTGTGTGGAAGTTCGGAGTGGTTAAAGACCAATCTCTGGGTTACCCCTCTAGTCTAGGGCTGACTGGCAGCAGCCCTAGAGAAAAAGAGATGGTGTTGGGTCAGGGCAAGTCTTTACTGGCCACATAAGTAAGACATCACAGGGAGCTAGGACTCAAGATTCTTCTCTCCCTGGGAAGTACGCCCTAAAGCCTGTGAGACTTGAACTGAAGCCCCAGCTCAGCCCACCTGTTAGCATTGTGAGCTCAGCTTCCGTATCTGTGAAATACAGTTAATAATCTCTACCTGCTACAGTTTTCAGGAGAAATGAGATGACAAGGTACATGCCTGTGCTTGACATACAGTGAGCACATAAGACATGACTGCCTTATTCACTATATGGGTGAGGACAGTATTATGGGTCCCATTTTCTCTATGTATAAGAAACTAGAGGGAAGAGCGTCTGATGATGTCACAACTCTAAGTCACAACAAGAATGTGACAGAGCTCAGCATGTAATTTACAACCAATAGCTATTTGGCGAGTGGTCCTGCCCTACGATAAAGTGTCTGCCCAGGACAGCTCAGGTAAGTCTCCTCAAACTATCAGAGATGTCAGACTCTTCATCAAATCTACAACCAGGCTGTATGTCAGAGACACCCCCCCCTCCGCCCCCTGGCCCCAACCGCAGGGACAACTCCAAACCATGGAGAAGCTGCCAGGAGATGCGGGAGTCACAGAACACAGGGGAACCGGGCCAAGAGGTGCAGGCACAGCAGAGATGGTCCCCAGCCAGAGGCTACCTCGGCTCACACAGGCCCACCCAGCCCTCAGCACCACTGGCCGACCCAGCCCCCTTCAGGCCCGCTGACCCTGCGGTTCCTGGACTGGTGACTCAGTTTCTCTTCTGCCAAGAAGGCTCAGTCACAATTTCCCGGTGCACCTGAGTCTTGGCTTAGTTCTGACATTCCAGAAGGGCGGGTGGTGGAGGGTGCAGGCTGCACTCCAGGTTTGGACCCTCCTGGCCCCGTGGTCAATCACTCAGACCCGATGCTAATCGCTGGACACCCTCCACATGCCCCCAGGCCGGAGCCTCCGGGGAAACAGACCTAGCAGCAGCCCTCTCCGAAGCCAAGCACCCCTCCAGCCCCGAGCCCCCAGCCGACCCCCGCCCAGGCTCCTCAGGCTCCAGGGTCGAGTCCCGGAGAGGATAGAGGCACTTGAAGAGGGGGGGTTCCGGTTCCGGTCCCACCTGCATCTCGGTCCCCGCGCTTAACTCCGGCGGCGGCAGCGGCGGCGGCGACGGCCGCAGCTCCCGCTCCCTGTGCCCCCCGCCTCCGCGACGAGCTCCCACCACGCGCTTCTGCGCAGGCGCCGGGACGGGTTTTCCCGACGCGGAAGGAAGCGACCATAGAGAAGAGCAGTAAGAAGGAGGGCACCTTCGTACTCACTTCCGCCATCGTTCTCAGCGCAGAGCTTTCAGGAGCTCGGCTGACGCAGGTTTCACCGAACGCTCGCGGCTTCCGCAGTTGTACCTAAAAGGGACCACCGAGACAACTGTGGGAAGGAGCTGCGTCCCAGCCGAGCGTCCTCCGAAGTGAATTCAAGACAAAGGCGAGAAGTCAACCATAGAGAAGCACCTGAGCGGAGAGAGTAGCCGCCCAGCACGGGAAAATCAGCGAGATGATAAAGCTCTTTGAAGAGCTAGCTGCAGCCTAGAGCGCCTGGCCCCCGCACAAGGGGGACACAGACACCGCCCCCAGGGAGTTGGGCGAGCGAAGAACCGGTGACCTTGGGAAGCCGAATGATCCCGAATTTACGACCTTGGCTTTTCGAAGGAAAGGGACAAGGTGGTCCAGGAGGGCTGCACCTTAGACAGGAACTAAAGATGGGCAGCAATAGCGAGGTCAGCTTCGGACATGCTTGGGGTACAACCAGGAGGTACATGCACATAGAACTTGAACATCAAGAGAGGCTTCAAGGCAATTTTACAGGGTTGAAGAAGAGAAGGTACAAAACGCTGTTGAAACCTCGCGCACAAACATCCTCTAGTAATCTAGGCTCGCACTGATCCAGCCTCACTGCGGCTTAAGTAATTGAAAAGGCCAAGAGTAAATTGTGATCGTTGACTTGGGCCAAAAGATACCTCACATCTGTAGCTCACATCTGTGATCGTACTTTTCTCGTGCATTTGCCTTCACCCACAAACAAGCAAGATGGCTTTTTGTCCGTATGCAAATAAGTCGTAACAACTTAGTAAGTCAGTTTAAGGAGCATCCCTTATTTCTGAGATCTCCAATAAAATTTCCAGAACCTGGCTAGTGAGAAAAAGAGGGAAAACGTGCTTGTGTTTGCTATGCAAGCCTGATGACCAGAGTGCCATCCCCAAAGCCCACTGTGGAAAGAAAAGGGACGCTGGAAAATTATCTTCTGACCTCCAGCATGCCGCACATGCTTTTGTTCGCCCCTCCCATATTTACACATACACACAATAGCAATAATAAAATTTAAGTTTAAATAAATTTCAGGACTGGGAAGAGAGCTAAGTGATTAAGAGCACTGACTGCTCTTGCAGAAGACCCTGGTTCAGTTCCCAGCAACCACATAGTGGTTCAGAACTGATTGTAACTCCATTTTCAGGGGATCCGATACCCTCTTCCAACCTCTACAGAGATACACAGGCAGGTAACACACATAAGCTGAAATAAATATTAATTTAAAAAATTTAAATTGGAGCTGGGCGGTGGTGGCGCACGCCTTTAATCCCAGCACTTGGGAGGCAGAGGCAGGCGGATCTCTGTGAGTTCGAGGCCAGCCTGGTCTACAGAGCTAGTTCCAGGACGGCCTCCAAAACAATACAGAGAAACCCTGTCTCGATAAACCAAAAAGATAAATAAATAAAAATTTCCAGAGCCAACTAGCTAATTGGATCAAGTGCCATCCTTGAGGCAAGTGACAAAAATGAAAAAACAAAAAACGAGGCAAGTGACCCAGAATATGGAAATGGATAAATGACAAGTCTCACAGAAAGAATGTTTGTCATAGGAGCTCAGTGGCTAAAGGTACTGGCTGCTTTTCCAAAGGACCCAGGTTCAATTCCCAGCACCCATATGGCAGCTGACAACTGTCTGTACCTTCAGCTCTAGGAGATTTGACACCCTTATACAGACATACACTGCAGGCAAAACACCAATGCACTAAAAATAAACTTAAAAAGTGCTGTTTGGCCAGGTAGTGGTGGTACACCCTTTTAATTCCAGCACTCAGGAAGCAGAGGCAGGCAGATCTCTGTGAGTCCAAGGCCAGCCTGGTCCACATAGCTACACAGAGAAACCCTGTCTCGAAAACAAACAAGCAAACAAAAAAAGTAATGTTTGTCTAAGGGTGCCACCCCACCACCATGGGGTTAGAAAATCTTAGAAAGAAAAAGCAAGTTCTGGCTTTTTTCTTCCTTCCTTCTTCTTCTTCTTCTTCTTCTTCTTCTTCTTCTTCTTCTTCTTCTTCTTCTTCTTCTTCTTCTTCTTTTTTTGTTTGTTTGTTTTGTTTGTTTTTTGAGACAGGGTTTCTCTGTATAACAGCCCTAGATGTCCTGGAACTTGCTGTGTAGACCAGACTGGCCTCAAACTCACAGAGATCGGCCTGCCTGCCTCCCCAGCCCACATGCCTTTTATTTTTAAAAAGGCAAGACAGTGTTTTGTTTTTAAAAGATTAAAAAAAAATTTTGTTGTGTATATGTGTGGTTTGTCCACATATGTGTTCAGTGTCCTCAGAGACTAGAAAAGGACATCATATCCCCAGGAACTGGAGATATGATTTGAACCACCATGCGGGTTCCAGGAATCAAACCTGAGTCCCTCTGCAAGAGCAGCAAGTGCTTTTAACTACTGGGCTCTCTCCAGCCCAATGGCTTAGCCAGCCTTAAGTCACCCAGGCTGTCACTCATAGCATCAGCTCAAAGACACCTTTGCGGAGGTCTGCATTTCCAGCATTATCCAACTCTGTTACCACTTCAAAAAAAGAACAAATGAAGGGGGTCCCTTTCCTGTGGTCTTTGGCCCAGATCCTCCCTCACTCTCCACATAGCTTACCTGTCCATCATCTATAACAGATATGGTTCAAGAGTACAGAAGGACAGAGGACTGTTGATAAGTTTGGATGTGTTGTGTGTAAACTGTCCAACCTTTTGAGGCAGAGGTTCGGGGATCAAACCCAGGACCTGGAACATACTAGATATTTTAAGTTACTTCCAGCATCCAATCAAATTTCCAAAATGATTGAAATAATCAGATATTGTAGTCATGTGGTCACAGGCTTGGTTGGTGTGATCAATGAACTGAAGGGTTTTTTGTTGTTTTTTGCTTTTTAAATTATTTATTTTTTTCTTTTCTTTTTTTGTTTTTTTTAAGATTTATTATGTGGCCGGGCGGTGGTGGCGCACGCCTTTAATCCCAGCACTCAGGAGGCAGAGGCAGGCAGATCTCTGTGAGTTCGAGGCCGGGCTGGACCGATAGCCTCCGAAACAATGCCTCGTAAAAACAAAAAACAAAACAAAAAAAAAAGATTTATTATGTGTACAGTGTTCTGCCTGCATGCCAGAAGAGGGCACCAGATATTACAGATGACTATGAGCTACCATGTGGTTTCTGGGAATTGAACTCAGGACCTCTGGAAGAGCAGCCAGTGCTCTTAACCTCTGAGCCATCTCTCCAACCCCTTAAACTATTTATTTTTATTTTATATATATTTATGTTTTGTCTGCATGTATGTCAGTATGAGGGTTTGAATCTCCTGGAGTTGGAGTTACAGACAGTTGTAAAATGCCATATGGGTGCTGGGTATTGAACCTGGGTCCTCTGGAAGAATAGCCACTGCTCTTAACCACTGAGCCATCTCTTTAGGCCCTGAGCTGAAGTTTTTAATGCAAATAGCTACTTAAGCTGGATGTAGTGGTATATACCAGAGGCAGGCTGATCTCTGTGGGTTTGAGGCCAGCCTGGTCTGTGTAGTTCCAGGACAACCAGAGCTACACTGGTGAGACCCTATCTCAGAAAAACAAAAGCAAACAAAAGAACAGAAGCAAAACAAAATATAGTTACCTGTAACTAAGTGGCTACTCTATAAGCACAGGACGTGTCCTTGTGCAAGTAGGTGGAGCTGTCTAGTGGAGATGCAGTCACAGTTGGGTTAAACAAAGCAGTGTGGTGATCAGACATTGGACATGCTAGGCCTAGGCCTCTGTAGAACAGAAAACACTTAACAGGCAGTCACAGAAGGAGTAGAAGCAGCTGGGTCCTGTTTCCCAGGAACATTAGAAAGAGTGTGTGATTTGTTGAAAGAGGAGGGCAAAATAAAGTGCTGCTGGAAGAAACCAGGGGAGGCCGGGTGAGCATGTGGTACCAGAGAGTGAGCAGTGATCTGCATCCCACAAGAGGATAGATTATCCCTCAGGGTTGGCCAGCCGCAGGAAAGCTAGACCTTTTACAAATCAGCCTCCCTGCACCACTGACCCAAGGCTGCTCTGGAAGATGTCAGTTCCTGGGCCCTTGTGCTAAGGCAGAGGCTCCAGTAGTAGTGTATCCCTCAAAATCCACTAATAATATAAATTGAGCTAGGCAAGATGACTCATGCCGGCTGTCATGGCACTGGGGAGGCCAATGTAGAAAGAATGAAGTGAGTTTGGGGCCAGCCAGGACTATATAGTGAATTTTAGGCCAGCTTGGACTACCGAATGTGATCCTGTTTTCTTTTCTTTTTTTTAGACCAGGCTGGCCTCAAACTCACAGAGATCTGCCTGCCTCTGCCTCCTGAGTGCTGGGATTAAAGGCGTGCGTGATCCT